GGTCCAATTTGAGACCGCCGTGTGTACCCACTGTGCTGGGCCCCCCCAGCAGCCTTCGAAAGTGGCGACAGTTTCACAGATCGCAGCCCCCCAGGGACGGCGAGGTCCAATTTGAGTCCGCCGTGGGTACCCACTGCGCTGGGCCCCCCAGCAGGCCTCGAAAGTGGCGACGGTTTCACAGATCGCAGCCCCCCAGGAATGGTGAGGTCCAATTTGAATCCAGCAGCCCTCGAAAGTGGCGACAGTTTCACAGATCGCAGCCCCCCAGGGATGGCGAGGTCCAATTTGAGTCCGCCGTGTGTACCCACTGCGCTGGGCCCCCCAGCAGCCCCCGAAAGTGGCGACAGCTTCGCAGATCGCAGCCCCCCAGGGATGGCGAGGTCCAATTTGAATCCGCCGTGTGTGCCCACTGTGCTGGGCCCCCCAGCAGGTCTCGAAAGTGGCGACAATTTCACAGATCGCAGCCCCCCAGGGATGGCGAGGTCCAATTTGAGTCCGCCGTGTGTACCCTCTGTGCTGGGCCCCCCAGCAGCCCTCGAAAGTGGCCACAGTTTCGCAGATCGCAGCCCCCCAGCTGGCCCGCAGCGACGAGCGAGGCAACAGGCAAGAAGGAGGAAGAGAGGGGCGGGAAGGAAGGAAGGAAGCAAGGAGACGCGCGAGCAGTGCTCTATTCAAAACGAGAACCCAACGCAGGAGGGTCGGGAACAAAAAAGCGTCGCGGTGCCGCTGGCGCTCTTGAGCGCGCGTTGGGTCGGCGGGAGCGCCGGCGGGGCGCGCGCTGGCCGCCCTCCGAGGCGGGGTTCCGGCCCGCCCCCCCCCCGCGGAAGCGGAGGGCGCAGCGGAGGCCCCGCGGGAGCTGGCGCGGGGGGGCGGGGCACGACGAGGCACCCGCGAGGGTGCGCCCGCCCCCTCCCGCCCCCTAAGGCCAAGACAGGACAGGGCAGGACAGGACAGGACAGGACAGGACAGGACAGGACAGGACAGGACAGGACAAGACAAGACAAGACAAGACAGGACAGGACAGGACAGGACAAGACAGGACACGACAGGACAGGACAAGACAAGACAGGACAAGACAGGACAAGACAGGACAGGACAGGACAGGACAAGACAAGACCGGACAAGACAAGGCAAGGCCCGCCCCCTGAAGAAGAGCCCGCGTCAAGGCACCTGCGAGGGTGCAGCGGGTGGGCGCCGGGGCGACGGCATGGGCTGGCCGCTCAGAAGACGGAGGCGGGCACTGGGAGTCGGGGTCGGGGAAATGGGAGCAGATGTAGGAGCCAGAGTCGGACACGGCCTGCCGCTCACTGGGTGGATTCGTCGCTGTTCGTCGAGTACTGACGCAGGCAGGCGCTCCAGCTAAAATCGGGAACCCCAGATTTGTTTTATTGGCGGCTCCGAAGACAGATCCTGGAAGCGGGTCGGACACGACTGGGGCACAGAGCGAGATAATTAGCCGCAGAGGCGCATAGGCCGCTGAAGCGAGTGCACTTGCAAGGGACAAATGACCCTCATTGGGGGCTGGCGCTGGCGGCCCGACAGAGGGGAACGCAAGCACAAACCTGGAAGCGGACGGATGGGAGCTGTCGCACACATGGCGCCAAGCTCCAGCCGTACCGGACACCGCGACACGCAGCACTGCGGCGGCACGGGGTGGCCAGGCGTGACCGCACCGTCCATGCAACAACGGAAGGGCACGCGGCAGAAGGAAAATGGGAGGGCACAGATGGAGCCTCACTCACAGTGACTCACGGGACGCTCTTGGGCAAAACAGCGACCAGAACCCAGTCAAGGACCAGTCTACCGTGTCGTCTGAGCCCAAAGCCTGCAACTTGTCCGACACTGAGGATCGGGGGCGTAAAGCTGCAAGCGCTGGTCGAGTCACATGGCCCAGCCTGCAGGGGGGACCGTGGTATCTGCCAAAGGATGAACCATTGTGCAGGAGCTGAACGCGAAGGCGACGACCACAGTCGGGACCCTGTCGTCGACGTCGCCGGCGTACCGCGAGCAACTTATCCGACACGGGGGTCGGGGGCGCAAAGTCGCAAGCGTAAGCCGGGACACCTATGACGGACCTGCTGGGGGATCCGGGGTGACCTGCCAAAGGACGAACCACTTGTGCAGGAACACGCCCAAACCAGGCCCGGCATCGGGTGGTACCACAAGCGGTGAGGTGCACCGATCAGCACCTTGCCGATGCCCAGCACCAGGGTCGTCCCGGGCCGCACCGTGCGGGCCGGGCCCGCGGGTATGGGAGGCCTGCTGGCCGCGGCGGTGCCCTGGGGGGAAACCACCCTCACGCTACCTCATGACAGCATACGCAGTGGCGACCAGACGAGGTACCACGTAGTGTCGACCAGGGAAACTGGGGGAAATCACATTGTGGTTAGCTCGGGCAGGCCTTGCACAAACTGAGGGTCCTGGCCCAGCTGGAAGCGAGCTGCGGGTCATCGCTACCCACGGGGGTGGCTGAACCTGTCAGCTCCTCTGTCATGGTGTCTCTTCGCAAAGCTGGGGGCGCAGCCAAGAGCCGCAGGGGGGGATGCACCCAGGGGCCGCTGGTACGACAGCGTGCCCATGGCCTCTTCGCTGGGATGTGTCGCGGCACTGGCACGTCCTCAACCAGGGCCCACTGAGCTGTGGGCCGTCGTGACCCGTTGAGGTGGCTGACCTGTCCGCTATACGGCCTTGATGTCCATACACAACGCTGGGGGCGCAGCCAAGAGCCGCACATACTTGTGAATGAACGTGGGGGTGCCGCCGAATCGCTGCCACGAGGCCATGCCAAGGGGGTCCCACGCTTGGCCTGTGCCTCAGCACTGTCAGGTCCTCAACCAAGGCGCACTGCGCTATGAGCCGTGGGGACCAGAAGGGGTGGCTGAACCTGTCAGCTCCCCTGTCTTGTCAATCGAAACGCTGGGGACGCAGCCAAGAGCAGCACAGACTGGTGAATGTAAGAGGGGTGCCCCCACGTGCTGTGGCACGACGAACGTGTCCAAGGCCTCCAATTTTGTGATGGACCGTCGCACTGTCCCGTTAGCAGCCAGGGCACCCCAGACATCCGACGTCCCGATTTTTTCGAGACGCGGGCTCCCGACCTCCCGACCACTTCCCTGAGACGTCCCGAGTCGTTTCTTGACGGTCCCGAGGCCTGGCGAGGGCCCCGAGAGGCCGAAAAACCATGAAAAACTTACGTCTCGAGTTTTTGTCGAGGCGCCCGATGTCTGGGAACGCACGCACGTTGACCGAACAGCCAGCACGCGTGACGCTACTATGCCTCAGGGGGAACGACAGCGAAGGACTGGCTCATGGATGGAGGGCGGCATCCGCCTGGAACTGGCGGTACACCGCCGAAAGACTGGGGGATGGGCCCCCCATCGCGGCTCCGTACGGCCCTGGGCGAACTGGGCGGTCCGGTCCGTAGGGGAACGAAGAATGACACGAACCTACAAACTCGGAGGTCCGCGCGGATTTCTCAGATTCGCGTCTGGGGCCCCCTGGCGGCGCCTCCGGCGCCGCTCCCTGGCGCGCTGGCGTGCTCCGCGCGCCAGGGAGGGGGGTCCAGCGCCGATCCGAGCAATCCGCGCGGACCTCCAAGCTTTTGTTCATGTCGTTCTTCGTTCCCCTCATCCGGCCCCTATCGGCGATCAGTGGGCCATTGGGTGTCGACGCAGTCCCCCCTGAGCCAATTCCCCGCTAACGCTGCCCCAAGACATGCGTTGGCCCTTGGATCATAGCTCGCGTGGGCTTTTCTGACCCGGGTCAATCCAGACCCGGGTCAGTCATGCCTTGCAGAATCCTACAAGATCCTGCGAGATCCTGCACCCAAACCTGGGACAATGCGAAGGATCCTGCAAGTTCCTGCCCCCAAACCCAGGTCAGTGCGATCCTGGCCTCGGCAGGATCCTGCCAGATCGGGCGCTCTAGCTGACCCCCGTTTGCATTGACCAGAGGAGGAGGAGGAGGAGGAGGAGGAGGAGGAGGAGGAAGAGGAGGAGGAGGGGGAGGAGGAGGAGGAGGAGAAGGAGGACGAGGCGGAGGAGGCGGAGGAAGAGAAGGAGGTTTGCAGTTTGCACTGACCCCCGTCTCAAGGCTCCCGAACTCGGCTGTCTGGCGGCCGTCCCGGGGCGATCCGGGCACCCCCCGGAAGAGCGCCCTCGGCGAGGCAGGCCCGCCAAAGGGCACCCCGGGGCTGGACAGCCGCCGAGAACCCAGCAGCGCGCGAAGGCCTCGAGCCTCAAGAACCTCGACTTCTCTTGGCGGCGCGCACGAGGGGGTGGGGGGAGGGGGAGGGCTTCTTAGGAGCAGGCCGCTTCTTAGAAGGCGCTGGCCTTACATCTGTAGATAAGGCCCCGCGCCTTCTAGGAAGCAGGAGGGGCAGGAGAAGGGCGCGGGGCCCTGGCGACTGCACGCGTACCTGGTCTCGGCATGGTAGCTGACGACGTCGGGCTCCACGTCTCTCCGTGACGGCTCCTGACCGCACTGCCGCTTCGAGGGTCAGCGCTGCAGAACAACCGCCCGCGCGCCCCGTGCAGGGTGCAGGGGGATTGATTGGGCGCGACATGGCTGAGGTGGAGGAGGAGAAGGAGGAGAAGGGAGGAGGAGAAGGAGGGAGGACGAGGGAGGAGAAGGAGGAGATAAGAAGAGGAAGGAGGAGGACGAGGAGAGGAGGAGGAGGAGGAGAGGGGAGGAGGAGGAGGAGGAGGAGGAGGAGAAGGGGGGGGAGGAGGAGGAAGGAGGAGAGGAGGAGGAGGAGGAGGAGGAGGAGGAGGAGGAGGAGGCGAGGAGAGGAGGAGGAGGAGGAGGGGAGGAGAGGAGGAGGAGGAAGGAGGAGGAGGAGGAGGAGGAGGAGTGAGGAGGAGGAGGAGGAGGGAGAGAGGAGGAGGAGGAGGAGGAGGAGGGAGGAGGAGGAGGAGGAGGAGGAGGAGGGGAGGAGAGGAGGAGGAGGAGGAGGAGGCGAGGAGGAGGAGGAGGGAGAGGGAGGAGGCGGGGCGGCGCTCCTGCGCCGCCAGGTCCACGTCGCTGGGGACACCGCACAGCTGCAGCTCGCCGCTGCTCCCCCGGCGCTCCTCCGCAGGCCGCAGCTCCCCGCCGTCGCCGTCGCCACCGCCTTCGCCTCGTCGTCGTCGTCGTCGTCGTCGTCGTCGTCGTCGTCGTCGTCGTCGTCGTCGTCGTCGTCGTCGTCGTCGGCGGCGTCGGCGTCGGCGTCGGCGTCGGCGTCGGCGTCGGCGTCGTCGTCGTCGCCGGCGTCGCCGTCGCCGTCGCAGCCGTCTCCCCTAGTCGCCCCGACAGCATCAAAGGCTGCTCGGCAAAAAAACACCACCCGAGGGGCGGATCGGTCGACGGGGGAGTCGGTGGGCGTGGGCCGTCGGGCGAGGCGGTACAGGAGCGGCTGTTATTGAGCAGCAGGAAGAGAGAGAGAGAGAGAGAGAGAGAGAATGAGAGAGGGAGAGATAGAGGGATGCAAGAAGCCAGCGAATCCGAGAAACAGCGTTGAAGATATGCAACTGGCCAGCGGTCTGGGCAGGGCCTGCCTCCTCCTCCTCCTCATCATCCTCATCCTCCACCTTTTCCTCCTCCTCCTTTTCCTCCTCCTCCTCCTGTTCCTCCTCCTCCTCCATTTCCTCCTCCTTCCTCCTTTTCCTCCTCCTCCTCCTCCCCTCCATCTACGCCTCCTCCTCATCCTCCTACCTCCTCCTCCTCCTCCTACCTCCTCCTTCCTCCCGCCTCTCCTCCTCCTCCTCCTCCACCTCCTCCCCTCCTCCTCCTCCTCCTCCTCCTCCTCCTCCTACCTCCTCCTCATCCTCTTCTTCTTTGTGATATAGTATTAATGTTATTCTTCGTATGCCTATTATTATTGCGTAATAGTATGAGTAACATTC